GAGAGAGAGAGAGAGAGAGAGAGAGAGAGAGAGAGAGAGAGAGAGAGTGAGAGTGTGGAGTCTTTGCGGTTGCGTGTCTTTAAATCTCTCCCCACTTCACACGCCACAGCCATGTGTGCGCGTCGGTACACGTGCCGAGGCTAGTGAGTACTGGAGTGAGAGAACTAGAGGCAGGGCCAGTAGACACGGAGGAGGAGCCCACAGGAGGAGGGACATGCAGAGCAACAGGAAGAGTTTCCCCCCGTGCTGCTGGACTTCAAACGGGAACATTTGATCACAGATGAATGACATTAAGTGCACTGATATCCAGAGGAGAATTTTATGCCGCGTGGGATGTTGACGCAGGACATTTAGGTGACAAAGTGCATGTTTATAGACGCTGATAATGCATTTATATCGCATAATTAATGTCTCATGCGTTTGGATGATAATCTCTTTATATTTAACTCTTGAAATAATTTGAGATTACAACTACAAAAACATATAATAGAAAATTAGCATAATGGATTGAAAGTGGAGAAATGATAGTTTAACATTGTGTGTGTATTATTATGCGGCTGAGATGACTGAAGTTGAGCAAATCATTTTCTCATCAGCTCTCCCAAAGCTTGAAACTTAAAAAGCTGTGTTGTAATCGGCAGCATCATAAAGGTGCCCACCAACCAGCTGCTTCACAAATGTTAAACGGAGCGACACCTAACAACCTATGACTATGTAAGGTACCTAAGCAGGAGCAGGGCTGCTGTTAGCCTTCACAGCAGCCCCGGGGCCCTCGGCCTCAGGAATGCTATTGTACAAGTGCAGAAATGTGTGCAGTCACATATTTGACTGTTTCTTGAAAAGCAAAAGTCTCTCTGTTCTCTCAAGGTTAAAAGACACGTGGACAAAAATGCGCCAAATCAACTTTGTACGGCTGCGTTCCAGAGCTTTTCAAAGAGCAGGGAGAGGCTATGTACCACAGGAGGGCTGAGGGTTTGCACGCTTTCATTCCAACAAAACACGACACCAGGCGGTTGCACTGACTAGTTCCTGCTGTCGGGTTTATGCAGCATTAATCATTACAATCTTGTGGTTTAGAGGAAAAGCGTGCATCAGTTCTGGCCTCTGTGGCACTTGGTTGCGGACAGTATCCACACTCAAAGATTCGGTGTTTGTTTAGACCCGCTGATTATGTGTTCTGGGACATGCTTGACTTCATCTTGGTGAGTGTGAAAGCACTCTTTAATTTGTTTTGCTGTCATTGTGAATCATGGGAATATCATGAGGGAACACCTGTTGTGAAAACATTATTATACAGCCATTAGTCATGTGATAGCTGCTCGTACATTACAGATCTACAGATAGCATGTTTAACAGGTGACAACACATATCATAGATAGAGGCGATGCTTTTGTTTGCCTGTAAACGTAAAGTTATTTTGGGCCTTAAAACCAGATTGTGTACTTTTTATTGTTTGTTTGTTTCCACATAATAAGACTGTATTAACTATCAGCTTTGTGGGATTAAAGGCAGACAGGTTTCGTTAGGACTGTGGTCACTTGTCAGGCCGCAGTGCTGTGGAGCGAGATAACAATGCTGACTTAAGTTCTCTGTGTTTGTCGTGGAATGTAACAGTTCCTTTAGACAGATTGAATAATTTAAAGGCTGTTCTTGTTAATAGTTGGACTTATCAGATCAATCTTTAGGTTAACACATATCCCTGTGAGATATGGGAACAGTCGATGGAAGATTTTGGCTTTTATAGGGAAGCAAAGTCAGTTTGAGTGAGGTGCATTGGGCCTTAAAGGGGGTGGGTTGAGGTATTGCCCTATACTGGCCCCACTTAAAGAAACTGGTTTTGAGGGGAGGGGTAGAAAGTTACATAACATTTCCACTTTTAGATTTCTCTTTTGCTATTAAGTTCTGGATGTTGGCTTTAGTCTACCAGCATTTGCAGTATTGATTCATAATAACAGCCAATATCATGCACCAGTTGAATTAATAGAAGATACTATTATAATAGATGATTATGTGTCAGTTTGACAAAGCACTGGTTTCCACTGTACATAGGATCACCAGGAACATCAAGACCATAGTGACGCTTTTGTTTTAGCAGCAGTACACACAAGGACAGGTTTGGGTTATGGTTTTATTATATTATGACAGTTTGCTGGTGTGTAGTGAATCATATGTATATCAGTGATTCTTTGGACTAACCTAGGGTGCAGTACTTGATATAAAAGAGTTTAGGTCGAGATAAAATGATGTGTAATGGAATAGCCAGAGCTTTTCATTGACAGTATCTCTCACTACAACAAGTAGCTCCTTTATATCTGTTTATCTGAATGCTACAAATACGATGTATTATACTATATAATTCTGTGTACTTTCAGGGTAAATCCCCAGAATATTCTCTAAAGACAACCGTGTCCCTGAAAACCTTACTGTCCATAAAAGCAGTTTGAAAAACATCCTCAGGCAAAGGAATGTTGTTTGTTGTTTATAACAGGAAGAAAGTAGCTCTCTGCTTCCACCTGGTGGTCATTATGATGAAATGCTGCATGTGTTTTTACTGCTGTCTGAGTAGGCCGCTGTCATTAGCTGCTCTGTTGAAGTTTGACAATATTATTGATTTCAGGACAGATGTATTTCAGTGAAAAGAAAGTAAAACAAGATTGTTCTTCTCTTTGATTGCAGGGAGTCAGACCAGTATGAATGACTCCTGTGAGTCTCCTTCTTCTTCCTCCTCGTCCTCCTGTCCACCTCTGCTGACACCCACGGACAGCGGTCCAGATGGGATCGGCATGTACGACATGGATTCTTCGGACATGGATATGTCTGGCCAGCCGAACTACGACCCCAGGAGGCACTCCTTCAGCGAAGAGGAACTCAAGCCACAGCCGATGATTAAGAAGGCCCGCAAGATCCTGGTGCCCGAGGGCTTGAAGGTGAGTGCAGTCTGAAGTCTTCGCTGCAAATTCAGAGCCGTGGTGGTCAATTTTATTAGGTATTCGGTCATTTAAATGAATTTATTCTAGGTTTTTAAATCAAATTGATCGAAATAATAACTTTTATTTGTACAGCACCTTTCACAAGAGCTGCAGCCCAAAGGGCTTTACACAGAACAACATGGAAAAAATAAATTTAAATAGTTTTATAAATATAATAAGAAATTGAATACGTGCATAACATAAAATGGATAATAAAACCCACTGAACAATAATACTACAATCAGTATCCATATTTGCAGGATGCATACATCAATACATACTGCAGACGCTCCAAGCGGTCTCCGTTCTCTTCTACTCTGTTCTTTTCCATGTCTGTGTTGCAGAAATGCTTATTTTGTCATACCAACAATCCAAAACCCAAACATAATTAACTTATAAAGACACATCAAAGAGCAAATCCTCACATTTCAGAAGCTAGAACCATCTTTTTTTTCCTTGATTGAAAACGACTAATCCTTATAGCTCTAATTCTAAGGTATACAATATTTAATTCATAATGTAAGAGCAGAAAGTACTTACTTGAGGAACCTTTTTTTTTTAAATCAAAAATAGGCACATACAGAGGGGTCTAGGTGAATATTTTGCACGTTTTCAAAAAAAGCACGACATTTCAAAGAAGCAGGTTAGTAACAAAAGAGCAACAAAATAGACTTTACAAAATAGAAATAACATCAATAAAACACAGTACTGACCAAACTCTGAAGATGAAGCATGTGAAAGGAACATGTCCCACACTCATTCATGGCCAAACGCCCACGTTACCAAAAACACGTAAGCAGCGAGGCTGCACAAGAATACTACACGCTTCTTAAGAAACAAGTCTGACCATTCATTGATTATTCTGTTGAAGTAGCACTACCCTAGTAATACCGTAATCCTCTGATCAAACAAGGTAAATCAAATGATAGGATCAAATTGGCAGATTAATAATCAAAGTGCTGTATTTTTCCATCCTCTTTTAGGATGATAAGTACTGGACCAGGAGGTATAAAAACAATGAAGCAGCAAAGCGTTCCAGAGATGCTCGCCGTCTGAAGGAGAACCAAATATCCGTGCGAGCCGCCTACCTGGAGAGAGAGAACGCCACCCTCCGACAGGAAGTGGCGGAGATCCGGAAGGAACTGGGCCGCTGTCGCAGCATCCTTAGTAAATACGAGAACCGTCTCGCTGACCAGTGATGAAGACGTGGAGCAAAATCAGAAAGAGGAGGAATATAAGCTGGATTAAATTTAAGACTCTGAATTCTTGGGGTGGCACGATGGACAGAAAAATGGTGATGATGATGATGATTATGATGATGAATGTAAAAGACAAGGGGAAGATTTGTGTATTGAAGCTCAGGTGTCTTGTTTCGTTGAGGTGTCAACTCTTAAAAGTGAAAGATGGAGAGAATAATTTAACAGATGAAAAGATGTGACTTTTAAGAGTTTTGTTATTGGAGAATTGTATATTTTTATAATACTTAAGAAAAATTAGAGGGAGAGCAAATTTGGAGAATAATTTTGTATATTTTCTACATAGAGACGGGAGAAAGCTATGGTAAATATCTTTTTATTATAGATGAGTCAGGAGACGTTTAACAGGTGGTCAGCCATCGATGGGTATTTTTCGACTTGATTATTATAGTCAGGATGCAGCAGCAGGGGCGAGGACGCATGTAACAATTGTAATATAGAGAGCAAAAATTATCTTATAATCGTATAGTTCAACATTTTTGTGGATTTTATTCAAGCACTTAATTTTCTTCCTGTTATGTTTCTGTCACTGGGAATGGGCATGCTGAAGAGAGAGAGAGACAAGAGGAGACACCATGTAAACACTCTGTTTCAATTGATCGACTTCATCCTTTTTTTATTAACTTTCTCAACAATATTATTTCTGTGTACTTTAAGCTGAACTTTATGCGATTGGTACATCTCTCACGAGTCCATACTTTTATCTTTGACTCTATCTCCTTTTCTCTATCCCCGTTTGAGTGCTTTACATCCACTCTGGTGTCTCGTCGTACCTCACCTAAGCCGGTGAAAGCCTGTTTGTGATGCCCCGGGTAACTCTGCTCCCTCTTGATCCTCTCTTTTGAACTGTCGGGACGTTTCTCTTCCTCTGTTTCTATATCCAACTGCTCTATTTCTGTCCGCTCTCACTTACAGCCAATCCCCTCACAGTTATGTGCGAACTCTTCCCGTAACATTTTGTCCCCGTGTCTCTCTTGTACCTCGGCGGTACACAGAGTAGTTCAATCTCGGTGTTTGTATTGCATCCTAAAATAGTAATCAATCTTCCCAGTCAAACGCACATCGTTACTTTACTGTACTTTATGAACACACTTTGATTAGCATTGTTATGGGGGGAGAAATGTTGTATATTGGATAGGCCTATACTATTTTGTGTATTTGATGTATTCCAGGAGATGGGTTCAAAACCCCCGTTGAGTGGAATGGTGTTAATTTCTCAGATTTCTGGGAGAAATAAAAGCCAAAATTTCCTATATTGATCCACAAAGCTTGTTGCTATTTAGTGCTTTTTTTTCAATACTGCTCCTTCCTTACTGTTTACTCCTTTTATTACTCTTTACTTTTTACTGTATCTAAAAAAATCTCTGTGTATCCACAACACCTACACATGGAGCATGGTGCACTATGTTCCTGGGGAAGGATGACTAGTGATAGAGTGTGATTTTAATCCCCTTAATGACCATGATGAATAGTTACCATTAGTGGTAGTATTACTGTTATGATTATGATGATTATCCCTCTTGTTGTTGCTGTTCTATATTATTGAATGATTTTCTTTCTTTGGATGAACGTGATCTGTTGCACCTTGAAACACCTTTGATCTTCATTGTTCCTCAGAAAGACTATTCAAATGAAAAAAAACAACAACCCTCAGTCTGCTCTTTGCATCCTGTCTCAGACCTCCAGACATTACTCACTTCCACTACGGACACTACTGCCACCGTGGTTTCTTTGACCGTGGATTCCAAAAGCGTGGCTCAATAACTTGAACATGATATTCATGCAGACTTACTTTACCTTTTGTGATGACCTCTTCTGTTCTCCAGCGGTGTACGGACTATGCACACTTATCAATATGCTCCTTGTTGGTTTATTTCAGCCTTTATCACCTCAATCAGTGATTGTTTGCTCTCCCAACAGGATTTAGTCTAATATCCTCACAGATGTGGTTGGTAAATCTTTTAGTGACTCTTATTGAACTACAACTGCCCTGCTGCATCAGTGGTGTACATGGTGTCCAGCCCACTCGGTGCTGGTTATTTGGATGTAGTCAAGATTTTTCCAAAAACACCAATAAAAGATTGTTCTCATTCACTACTGCTTTGCTTGGCTCTGCTGTTTCATCACAATGTTATTGTTTTTTGTGGTTCTGAAAGCTTGTGTGCCGGCATATTGAATTAAAGCCAAGTGTTTACGGAGAGAATAGGCAACAGATGTCACATTTCAGGAGGAATGCTGTTTCAATTTATCAACTTAAGCTTGATAAGCAAACTATGATATGAAGTGAAATGTCCCCAGACTTGTTTTGATGTTTGTTCACATTGTGTTCATTCCTTTGATAGACAAAGCAGACCAAATGTGCATTCTTGCCCAACAAATGCAACGCTACTTCCCTTGAAGATAACATTTCTACTTGCAAATTACATTGTAGTACAAAATGTGAACCATACTTTTGGTGTTTCATTTTTACCTCTTTACTTAAGATTTCTGTAAAATGATGTATATATATTTTTCTTCCAGAAAGAACAAAAAAAAAATAATAATTCAAATAAAATTCAAATAGTACCCTGAAATGAAATGCACTCAATGTTTAGCACAACTCAGATTCATTCCCTGATAGAGTTAGAATACTTAATTATGAAGAGGGTATTATTACAAAATCAGTGTGTACTGGCATCAATTAAAGAACTGAAGATACAAGTCACACCCGGCTGCGATGTTGGATGCGTATATAGGAGAGCATCAACTTCCTCTGTTGTTAACATTCCCTGTTTGTTTACTGTGTGTGTGTGTGTGTGTGTGTATGTGTGTATGTGTGTATCATCCCTTTTATCTTATAATTCAACAGAAATGGGTGAAAGGTCCTTCAGAGTGGAATTTTCCCCAATTCTCTCCTCCTCAACGCAAACCAGATGTGGGCTCTTGGCTGACCCCCCCCCCCCCCCAACCTCCCTCCCACCCTTTGTTCCCCCTTCCTTAAAATGCTGTGTCTGCATGTCCCTCCCTCATATCGTCTGAGGCCAGGCTTCAAGGATGGACTGTGCACTGCTGCTGCTGTCCCTATGGGCTCTGACTGGAACCGTGTCCCCGCAGGCTCCAGGTAAGCCCTCTGACTCCAGCCGTCACTCACACCTGGGAGAGCGCTGAGCCCTGCATACACAATGAACACAGCTGGACTATCACCAAATACTCTGGACTTTCTCTCTGCATGCTTTGTTGCTCTGCAGATTCTATTTGAATGTAAAGACCATCATGTAAGGGCTTGGGACTGGGCAAAATGTTATAGTTTGGATTGCTAATACCATACAATACATGGGTAAGTCATTTAAGTATGTTTTCTGTGTTTTTTGTTTTCGTCGTTTACTAATTATGGGATGCTTGATCTGTGTTGGATCATTGGCCTTTCACACACCCTCAAAAGTGAATCTGGGACCTCTATAACACCGGTTTCATGATGTGCAGTAACTTTTTCTGTTTCTAATATCATAACCGCTGCACGTATGTACTGTACACTATGTCTCCATGCTGTTCTGGGATGATCATGTGTGCATTAGCACAGCACGCGTGTGTTTGTGGTCACATGGCTTTGTGCAGAGTGAATACAGTAGCACACATGTTTTCATTCTAAGAAATGAATACTGGGGAACCCTTCTCTCCCCCTTCTCTCCCCCTCAAATTTTCTGTACATTGAGGGTGTGTCGATGTTGGCAACGTTACAATGTAAAATAAGTGGGGAATTAGTTTCTGTGGTATGTGATGGAATACGTATGTAGAAGTGAGGGGAAATGAGGAGGGGTTACAGATCACTCCTATGCACTGATCCTGTTCAAATATGAGTTACATTTTTGACAAAGTTACATATCTGAGAAAACACACTAAAAACTATTCGCAGAAGTAAGGCAACGCTCTCACTTTCCTGAAAAATAAAAACACGATAGCCGTATGGTGAAGAGCAACGAAGCCTGCCATCTAACTACTTACTCATCTGGCAACCTGGGTGGCAAATGTTTGCCCGGCCACCCACACTGAATTCACTTTCCTTCAAACAGAAAACAAAGCAGAGTTGGCAAACAAAATCTCATTAGAGCCCTTAGCGTTTTACGAGGGGCCCATAAATGGAGTAGAAGCAAACAAAGGAACAATCACTGTGATGGTGTGTGGTATCACAACAGGGTTGTGTCCGGATAGACTTCTGGGAGAGGAGAGCAGGAGGACGTGTCCTCGGCCCTGCAAAGCTGACGGAGACTGTGGCAACAAGCGCCAGTGCCTGTGTGACGGCCAGTGTGGTCTCAGCTGTGTGGCTCCAGGTAACTATTTGTATGCATGTGTGTCTTCAGTTGTCACTGTGAACACTATTGTGGGCTCAGTCATTAAAAGTGTGTGCGTGTGTGTGTGTGTGTCTAAACGCAGCTGTGGCAACATACATCTGTGTGTGTTTTCCTGGGGAAAAAAAGCCTTGGTCGTGCACAAAATCTGGGCTCAGAGTGTCAGTGCTGAAGCAAAGCTTTGTATTATGCCTGCGCGTTGTAATACAGCCTCATTAGTGTCCTTTTAACAACCCAGCACATTCTGAGATTGTCTCTCCTCCCTCTGGATTGTCTCTTTTCTCCTCAGGTCGAATTTGTCCCTGGCCTCTGTCCCCCAGTGACAACTCAGAGGCTCGTCTCCTCTCTCCCACTCACTCCTTTTCCGCCCTGCTCGAGGTGCGCTGCAAGCCAGGATTCACGTTGCCCAACGGCTTGGATGCCACTATTCGCCGTTGTCAAGGTGACCGACAATGGAGCGGGGATGAGCCCATCTGCACAGGTGGGTTTGAGTTCAACAGAGAAATGTTCTCTCTCGCTTCATGTCAGGTTCATAAAAGTGCTGCTGTGGTATTTGTTACTTTCTCAAATGTAATATTGTGTCTCTGTTCTGTAACGGAAGCAGCAGTCATACTGCATGTGTACAGTTTATGAGTTTAGGTCGGTGATGTGGGCGAGGATTAAACGTGGCTTTTATTGTGATTTTGTGTTTATGCAAGGTACTCAGACAGAGAGAGAGAGAGAGAGAGAGA